TCTGCACCATCGGGCAGCCTGGGAGAGCTGGTGCAGCAGGGGCCATGTGCACGCTCATGCACACAGACATGCTGGGGTAGCCAGGGGGAGTTATAAAATCCAAAGGCAGACCAAAAACATGAGAGAAGTTTGGGTCTAAAAATTAGGTTTGGGTTTTTTTGTTTTAAATCTCATGATTTGGAGATGGGGGGTGACTCCTGGTTTTCGAAAGTTTTAGGGTGGCAATTCTATGATTCAAGCCCATCAAAATCCTTGGGAGTTTCCATTGATATGAATAGGCTTTAGCTTAATGGATGTGCTTAGTATAATCATTATTATTATTTATTTGCTTTCCTTTCACCCTCCTCCTTCCCTAGAAACTAGTCCAATCACACAACCTAAAAGGATAGATGTGCAAGAATAAAATTAAAGCCTTAGGTAGGAAAACTCACAAGTCTCCATATTATGTCCCACTAAGCTGTAATATCTTTTGTGGAATAAGAACTCAGGGGCCAAAGGGACAAGATACCTCTGATGATGGCTAATTTGCTCCATGTAGTATTATTAATTTTCCCTCCTATTTCTTATTCAGGTCTAATGGTGAGTAATGTATATAACCAGAAGTTTTGGAATAACACAAACTGTTTATTTTTCCCAATGAGAGAAATAGCATTTGAGCTTATTTGGGGCAGTTTTAAGTATAATTTGCACACTGCTCTTAGTGCCTACTATTCCTTGTGTGGTTAGGAGTGACTAAATAAAACAAGCATATCATTTTTGCTCCTATAAACCAAACAGTTAACTTCGCAGTGATATTGAGACGTGCTTTGTCTGTTGTCTATAAATAGGAAAAGAAAAGGAAAGGAGACATTTCAAGCCCTATCTACACTACAGCCTTGTATGGTTTCTAAAACCAGGACAGCATCAGCCAGTAAAACTGTATTAACTAAAAACATTAGTCCAACTGGATCCTGAAGACTGTCTGTTAAGCCAGCCAAGACTGTCATGTGTATGGAGCCTTTGGCCAAATTCAGAGGCTGACGTGACTGTGGGCATAAGTTGGTGAGAAATCTGGCATTCAGTAGATAGGAGTGTGACTCATATTGATTCTGTAGGGTCCAAATTCATTCCCTGGAATAAGTGAGTACAGTTCCCTTTGGCTTAAGTCAACCTCTAACTGTTGGGGGTTAGGAAAAGAATGTCCCTGATGGCATAACTCCATAACTGCCTACTGCAGTGTTTCGTTCACCTTTCTCTGAAGCAATCAGAGTGTGTGCTCTTGGCGATAGGATGGTGGACTAAGCAGACCACTGCTCTGGTCTGATCTAGTCTGGAAATCCCTGTGTTCCTACAAAACCCAGTTAGAGGTGCACCTGTTTATAGCAGGGGTTGAAGTTGGCCCTAGGAATGTTGGGGATGGTTGGTTAAAATATGGCTTTCCCATAAACTCTCTTGGTTCCTTTTCCTGCTACAGCTTCCTTTTTCTGCCCCTTTGCGGAGCAAATTACACAAGCCTTGAACAGCCACTGAATGCCAAATCAGTGGATGTTACACTACTACAAATCACTTACATATTTTCTGACTCACACATAGTTGATGTGTAACTTACACCACAGCTGAATTTCTAATCGTGGCAATCAGACAAAAAAGATCAATTAGGTTATTTGGCCCATTCCCTGCCAGTGGAGGGTTAGTTCCGAATACATTTTCTATTGCTTTGTCCACCCTCAGGATGTCTTTCCTATTACTCAGCCTAAGTTTTCCTTTTCTTATTCATTTATCCAATTACATCACATGCTTTTCTTTCAGTAAATTGAAGCATTAATTAAATATTAGTTATTATTCTTTGCAGACCAAATGTACTCAGTGGTGCCTGAGCTCAGATGGTTCTCGCGTTCTGGTTGTTACTAATATAAAAGCTTCTTTGTTTTGTCTGGCATGTTTTGTTTGTCTTTTACGAGACTCTGTGTTTGCACAGAAAAAATAGTTAAAAAGAAAGATCTCAAGATATTAACAATATTTGTGTAGAGTGAAAAGTAGCAAATTCCGTTTGTGTGTCATTGGGCCAAATCTTCCCTTGTGTAACTCCCTACAAGTTACTGAAGTTATGCCGGGGATGAATTTGGCCCTTTTTGTTTTAGTGAAAATTCTGGTATTTTACAGCATGGCCTTTCAGTCCTACAGTTGTTCTGGAACTTGATGCTAGTACATTTAACACTTGTGTATTGCAGATGCATACCATAGCCCAGATCCTGCAAACACTTAAGCACATGCTTCACTTCAATCAGGTGAGTAAAATAATAGGATGGCCTTCAAGTTCAGTATACATGTGAGCATTTGCAGGACTGGGGTTCACCTTAACCACAATTTAAACACGTTGGTACAGAGAAGATGGTGCCCCATTTAAGTGGTCTCTGATGGTCTGTTCAGGGCATGAAGGGCTTTTAAAAGTTACAGAAGAATTTTGTTTTCCTGAGTCTCTTAGAATTAGTGATTTCCAGCTTGTGTGCTGTTCTCTAGTACCATCAATTAAATATGCACTAGCTGAGGATTGCAGAGATCACACAGTAGAAGCATATAAAAACATTTAATAACAGTGGTAATTTGAATACAGAAAATCCTATTGAATTTGTGTTGCAACTACTTTTAAGCAGTGCGTTTTTATTGCCTTTTGCTATGAAACATTTGCTTCTTGCTCAGAGCCCTTCATTAACCTGTGGACTTTGCATTGTAATTGCATGCCTGGCCCAGTGCTATTGTTGCTAATTTTGGTTGGACGTATTCCTGGAGGTTTCATCACATGACATAATCTTTAATTAAAGATTAATATTTAATTCCTGGAGACTCCAGGACAACCCTGTAGGGTTGGCAACCCTAGAAACTTCATTTCCAGAGGATGGAGGGTGGATGCATGAGGCACATAGAGAGCTTTATCCCTGATGCTGCAGTGCCTGGGTCCCCAGGAAGCTGAGAATAAATAAGGGCATGTCTACACTACAAAATTAGATCAATCCCTAATTTGCATTGGCATACAGCCGCCGCAGTAATTACAACACTTGTGCACGTCTACACTCTGCTCCTTGGATCGGTGGTGCGTATCCTTACCAGGAGCACTTGCACTGATTGAACTGTCAGTGTGGGGCATTGTGGGATGGCTTCTGAAAGCCAGCAACAGTTGATATAAGCAACACAATGTTTACACTGACACTGCGTCGGCCTAACTACATTGACATTGACTGTTCTCACGGAGGTAGAGTAATTAAGTCAGTTCAGTGGGTGAGTTATGTCGGTGGGAGTGAAATTTTAGTGTACACACTCAGAACTTGTCAACACGTGTAATGCTGTAGTGTGGTTTATTCACACTTCTGAGTGACATAAAGTATGCTGAGAGAAACTTAGTAGTGTAGACACACAACCTTACATAGTTAGGTTGACATAAACTGCTTTGCATTGACCTAACTCCGTAGTGTAGACCAGGCTTGGGTCTACACTTAAACTACTACAGCAGCACAACTGCAGCTGCACCACTGTAGTGCTTCAGGATAGACACTACCTATGCTGATGGAAGGGGTTCAATCCGAGAAGTGGCAGAAGAATTCTTCCATCGGCCTAGTACTATCTTCACTGGGAGTTAGGTCAGCATAGCTACATCTCAGGGGCACAGACCAGCCCTGCGTTAGGGGGTCTCTTCATGCTTTGCCCTTGAGGGGAGCGAGCCAGGGTCTCAGGGTTTCCTTGACACTGGGGGCTGGTCTACACTAGAAAGTTATGTCAACCTAGCTATGTCGCTGAGAGACCTAGTTAAGGCGACCTAAGCCCCATCGTAGACAGTGCTAAGTTGACACATGAATTGTTCGTTCGACTTAGCTACCACCTCTCAAGGGTGTGGATTTACTACAGCCACTTACAAGTAAGGCCTTGTCTACACTAAAGGGAAAAGTCGATCTAAGCTACACCATTTGAGTTACGTAAATAGAGTAACTCAAATTGACGTAGCTCAGATCTACTTATTGCGGGGTCCATACTACGCGATGTCGACGGGAGACGCTCTCCCGTTGACTCCCCTTACTTTTCTCGATCAGGTGGAGTACAGGAGTGGATGGCAGAGCGATCAGCGGTCCATTTAGTGGGTCTTCACTAGATGCCATGATCGCTGCAAGTATAGACAAGCCTTAAGTGCTCTACACTGCTGCCTTGGCGTTTCTAGTGTAGACACACCCCACCACAAGCCAAACACTTTGTCTCCGGAGTCCAGAACTTTCTAAACTGCCCTCAGCAGTATGAGGACAGCTCCTTGGGGAGCAGGGTTTTCAAGCCATTAGGCAGAAGGGCTGGTGTATTCTTGGGTGTATTCAAACTGTGAGCAGACCCAGCACTTAGGGCTCCCCCAGCCTGAGGCTTGGCAAAATTCACTTTTTAATTTTTTTATCATTCTGACGGATAATATCAACATTTATTTTTAAGCATTGTTAATTTTTATCCATTTAAATTTCCACAATTGCGGGAATTTCCGGTGGGGGGGAAGGGGGAGGTAGTGGGCTCAGCCAATCGGGAGCTCTCAGCCAATAATTAGTTAATGACAGTAGATCCTGCCATTCAAAACAATGAAAGCTTTGTACCTGGGAAAACGCAAATTGTCAGAAAGCACAGTGCAAATACCTCTCAATCAAACTGGAGTAAGTTCTCCAGCTTTTTTCTTCCTTTGCTTGTCTGTAAATGTTGATGATTCGTGATGGAAATATTTTTTTCATGGGGCTTGGGGATGTACAGTAAAATCCCCCTTTACTCATAAAAATCGAGTCCTTCCAAGCCTTACCCATTGTGCATGCAACCCCGAGCGCTGGCCCCCTTCCCTGCCGGCCTCCCAGCCTCCTCCTCCTACCCCCCCATCTCCGCTCCTCCTCCCCTGCTGCATGCCCCCAGCACCGCCCCTCCACGGTCCATGTCCCCCGGCCGGGGGCCCCAGCTCCTCCGCGCGCAGCCCTGTCCCCGCCCCGTGCGATTGTCTCCAGCTAGGGGGTGGCTCCCGCTTTCAGCCCTGCCCACCTCACCCCCCTCCGCAGGCGGCGCAGGCACCGGGCGAGCCGTTTGGCCCCTGGAGTTACAGAAGCTGCGGCCGCCGGAGCCTGCTGCACAGCGAGCAAGCGAGCGAGAGAAGTTGCCCTGGAAGGTGGGTGGGCCGGGTGCATGCGGGCTGCAGCCACACGCAGCGGAGGGGTGGAGGGGGCGCAAACGTACGGGGCCACCAAAGCAACTTGCACGGGAGACGGGGGAGCCTGGCCGCGAAGGGATAGTCACATGCGCGGGGGGACAGGCATGCAGATTGTTGCAAGTTAAGCGACATGCACCTGGAGCTGGCAGAGTTCACGTTGCTGTGGTTGCCCGGGCGGTAGAGGGGTGGGGCAGGGTATTGCTACAGGTTGCAGCTGGCTCTCATGCGAAGCAATCCTCGAGGGGCAGGGGAGGCGGTGCAGGCAGGTTTCAGAGTAACAGCCGTGTTAGTCTGTATTCGCAAAAAGAAAAGTACTCCTTTTCTTGGTGCAAGCCGCGTGTGCTAGCCGGAGTGAGACATCCGGTTGTAACAATGGGTTGCTTTGCAAGTGACTCTAAAGTAGAAAGCAGAACTCGGGGAACTCTCCGATGCTCCCCTTCTGCTTTGGGTCCCCTGCAAGCCCCCAGGCTCTGGGCGCGCTCCAGAGGCTGCCCCGTATGGCCTCGGTTGTGCCTCCTTTGCTGCTCCGGAGGAGCCCAAAGTGAAGTGCGTGTGCAGCCGGGAGGCTCAGTAAACAGAAAGCCTGGGAGGGGACTGTGCATTCCCCACCCAATGGCTGAAAGAAGAGATCTGGCTGTGTGTGGTTGGGTTGGGAGCCAAGTAGTGGAGCCACCTCACGCTTTCCCCTTGGCTGATGGCTGATGCTCTTGCTTTAGAATCAGCTCGATGGGGCAAATCCTCTCTCTCTTTCCTCCGACCCCCCTTTCTCTCCACGCTTCTCCATTCACTTCTGAAGGGTGCCTTTTACATGACTGCCACTAACGCAGACTACCCGAATCCGGTGGCATACAAACTGATTTCTTCACCTTCATACCTGCCAGCATTTGAAAGCTATCAATAAGGACATGTGGGGAAGAAAAATGGAGACCTCCTTTTAACTGCTGAAATTCATTGGAGCGGGAGGGCTTTTTGGCTGGATGGAATAGGGCAAATGACAGATCTGTTGCTTAGTAGAGGCTGTCCATGCTAAACGGGGGCAGTTAGTATAGAAGGTTTGAAAAGGTCCTTTCATTTCAGTTTTGTGTGTGTACTGTAGCAGATTTGTACTTATAGAGGGTCTATAATTACCATATTTGGTGACTGGACTTTTAAGTGCTGCCTGGGGGAAAAAATTAGGTTTGGGTCTGGGCTCGCTCCTAACACTCACTGAAGGGGAATCACAGAGGTTTCATCATCTCTCTCATTCCACTGAATTTACTGTAACAAGAGGGAATTCATCTGAAGGCCGGTGTTGGCTCTGTAAACCTTTTTGGAATGCACATTTGTTCGCTTGCAAACTGTGAATATATAATTATTCCACGCAAAGGAAAATATTTTCTGCAGTAAACATAAATTTAGGCAATGCATGAGAAAGAAGAGCCCAGAAGACAAGCTCTTCACATAGGAAGGAAAAAAACAACAACCCTTCTTACATTATTCTGGACTTTGTAGGATAGACAGGAAAAAACAATAAAGTGCACAAAGTCTTTTATGTTGTCTTTTCACAGGGACAGTTGCACATTTCAAATAATAACAGTATTTCTTGTATTAATTAGCACCTCAGATTATTAAAGCTGGGGAAAAAAACGAAGTCTAATTTACTTTGTTTTTTATGCTGTCCGTTCACACTTTGCTTAGCTCTCAACAATGAAAACAGACCAAGTGCACTAAGTTTCACTTTTGGGTTCAGTTGCTGCAAAATATGTGTTGCAAATACTACTGGGAGTGGATGTCAGTTTGTTTTTTTCCCTACAGTGTTTCTATAGGAATTTACAAAACTAACGCTAAGGAATGTTATTTACAAAACTTTATTTGGGGCTAGATATGATCTCTTTAAAAAGAGAGGGTGAACAGTTGTGTTTAAATTGAGACTGTTTCAAATGATACTCTGGACACTTATTGTTTGTGAAGTTGAGTTTTTAACTGTCTGTTTTAGCTTAAATCATCTCTCTTATTTTTATATTCTTCCATTTGGCAGATATATTTATATCTCTTTCTCCAGCATTTTATTAATAATGGAGGTTGGCTCACCGTAGGTCTGATTTAAGCCTGATTCCTGTGTAGCTGTTGTGATGGTAGCATTGAAATATGCCATGAAGCACTCAGATTTGGATCAGAGGATTTACCTGCGGGCTCTTATTTTTCATCCTAGCAAAGTGCTATATTACCTTGGCCAAATACTGTATAAAATTTGGCTGCCCAAATGAATTTTGGCTTGTAGTATTTATTAATTATGCTAGCACCAAGAGGCCCTGATCAAGATTGTGGCCTCATTTCTTTTAGGAGTTGTACACGTGTGGAAGTAGACATGGTCTCTGCACTTACAAGCTTTCAGTCAGAAATATGTTCTAAGGTATACTGTAGGACAAAAAGAATCTGAAAGTTCAAATGTACTCAGAGCCTCCAATACCTATTGAAGTCAATGGGAGTCTTTCCATTGACTTGCAGGGGTTCTCACAACACATTTTTTGGTGGCCTCAGAGTGTAGTCACTAACTCTTGCTGGTGGCCGCACTGAAACTTTTTCCTAAAAAACTTAATTAACTTTAGGAAAAACAAATAGATATGCATGTGTACACATCCAGATTATTGCAGTTTATTTATGTAGGGTTTTTTTGCAGACTCAGTAATTAAAATAATGCTGTGAAAAGTGATATTTATATGTTTGTTAATATCACTTTTCACAGCAAGTCCTGGCAAGTTAAGACTTGGATGGAGGGGCCAGAGGTGAGACAGCAGGGGCCAGGGAGGATTGATGGAGGAGTGGGGGGTGAGGCAGCAAAGGCCAGGGGTGATGGATGGATGGGGGGCCCCGCCACCGTGTGTTCGGAGATGTGGGTTGGTGCCTGGGTTTGGGGGTCAGTGCCCTGGGCCGGGGATCAGCACCCACTGCCACACAGCCGAGGGTCAGCACCCGGAGCCAGCACCTGCTGCTGTGTGACTGGGGCTTGGGGTCCGCGCCCGCTGCTGCACAGCTGGGGCTAGGAGTCAGTGTCCTGGGCCAGCACCCACTGGAGCCAGCTGTTGCGCGACCAGGACTGGAGGTCGGTGTCCAGGGCCAGCACCTGCTGGTGCCTGCTGCTGCATGACGGGGCTGGGGATCTGCACCTGGGGCTGGCGCCTGGGGCTGGGGATCGGCACCCATGGCCAGCACTTGCCGGACCCAGGGTTGATATCCAAGAACAGTGCCCAAGATCAATGGCCAGGGCTGGGGGTTGGAGCACATGGCTGGGGGTTGGCTGCCGCACGGCCAGGGCTAGGGGTTGGCATCCGGAGCCAGCACTGGGGATCTGCACCCAGGGCCAGCAGCTGCTGGAGCTCAGGGTCGGCGCCTGGGACTAAGTGACTAGGGCTGGGGGTCTGAGTGCACGGATGGGGGTCAGCACCTGGGGCCAGCAGGACTGGGGATCAGCGCCATGCAGCCAGAGACAGGGATTGGAGCCCACCACTGCATGGCCAGGGGTTGGAGTCTGAAGCCCATCCTGGAGCCTAGTCTGCAGCCAGGCTCCCTAAGTCCCCGCCGCCCAACCACCCCAGGCTGAAGTCCGAGCCCCACTAAGTCCCTCTGTTCTCCCCCAGGTAGAGAACTGACCTTGCTCCTTCAGCGTTGTGCCCCACCTGTCTCCGCAGATTGGCACATCCAGGAGCAACAGGCAGGGAGTGGGATGGGCTGATGCTTTGCCCCAGGAAGCTGTCGTGGCTGCAGGGAAACCCGTTGGTGGCTGCATTTGAGAAATGGTGCTTTAGTGGCCTTTGGATCAGGTTCTTGTGTATGACACCAAAGATAGTAACCTGCTGTCAAACACCTATAGACATGTGTTTGAAATGTGTTCGAAAGAGATGATATCTCCCTTGCAGTCTGTACTAATTTCTGGGTACTTCAGTACTGGAAATTTGTAGATAACGTGGAAAGAACTGGGGGAAGAGAAACCAGAATGATTAAAGAGTTGGAGGGCTTGATTTCTGAGAGAAGATTAAAAGAACTATGGGGGAGGGATAGCTCAGTGGTTTGAGCATTGGCCTGCTAAACCCAGGGTTGTGAGTTCAATCCTTGAGGGGGGCAATTCAGGGATTTGGGGCAAAAATTGGGGATTGATCCTGCTTTGAACAGGGGGTTGGACTAGATGACCTCCTGAGGTCCCTTCCAACCGTGATAATCTATGATCTAAACATGGATATATTGGTCAAATGGCCACTAACTTAGTTAGTTAGGCAGGGGGAAGTGAGGACATGGTAGTGTACAATATTTGGAAGTAGAAGCATCTTCCAGGAAAGAGGGAAATGTAATCACGATAGTCCAGTAGATTAAAGCTATGTATAATATAGCTTGTTAAGGGGTTTGGGTCCTTCATGATGAAAGATGCTACAAATGTAGCATGATCATGGGTGAAATTACATCTTAAATACCAGGAAGAATCTCCTGACAGATAGCTAGATTGATTACTGTGGAATAGTCTTTGAAGGAAAGTGGTGGAAGCCCTTTTTAAGGTTGGGGAAATCCTGAAAAGAATAACTTTCAGAGGAAACCAATGGGTTTTTACCTTGGAAATCTAGCTCTGCAGATATTTTGGATTTCAGTCAGGAAAGCTGAGGAGTAATCCAGGATCTGCCACTCATCAACAAGATGCCTGCTTGAAACTCAGTGGGGGACTGGAACTGAATGGGGGGCCAGCATTCGTCAGCTTTTCACTTATTATAGAACCAGAAAGAGACTTCTAGCAAGAAGACTGGCCACCGTCCGCCCATGAGGTTGGAACAGCAGGTGTTGGGCCACACAGCGGTGTGCAGATCATGTCCAATTGATCTGTTAGCCACCAGAAAGTACAGAAAGTTGATAAGTTCGTGTAAGAAAAAGGAAACAAAAGGCTATGTGTGTTCTTCTAGAAGGTGATAGGTTTTTTTAAAAAAGTAAACTGTTTA